CACCCACACCGTCGTCAGAGGTCTGCCCCGACAGTACAATCGTAGAAGTCGTGCGCCCCTCAGCAGGGGGGGAGGGAGAGATGGACAGAGGTCTGTCCCGACAGTACAATCGTAGAAGTCGTGTGCCCCTGTGCAGGAGGGGGAGAAGTTACTTCGCGTGGAAAGTTCAACGTTTCTGAACAGGGAAAGCTGTAGAATTTCGCGTCTGACAACAATATATTATATTTGTTTGGCAGTGTTAATTTCAAATATCGTGCATGCTATTGGACTCAAACCATACCAAGCGCATGCGCACGAGGTCAGAGAGCATGAAGAAAGCATACTCGTACCACTACGTATAGTCGGTAAGACAGATTTCCTAACCTGAATAGTCGTCAACTTTAACATTAAATATCTCGGTTCGTAGGGCAGAGCGACGCTTATTTCTGCCAGATTCTTTCGTTTCATGCAAAAACGCGTCGAATAAGCCTAATTTGATCGATTTTTAAGCTGCTCGAGTGATTCTGTATAATTACCTTACTTTTAGTTAACGGGTTATTATAAACGTAAATATATATATTAAATAAAATATTATATAAAATATATCTCAGACATACCTGAACTGCAAAGAAGTTTGATAGCACATTTCTTTACTTTACTTAACCAAATATAACTGTTTCTAGAACGTCTATTTTTTATGTCACAAGTTTTAATTAATCGTATATCTCTTTTTTCTTTTCTGTTGTTTCGAATTTCCACTAAAGAAAACATTTTGAACGTTTTCCATACACACAATCGATGAAGACGATGACTAACCGTACGGAAATTACTTTGGAATATGGAAAAATCCCGCAAAATCTCGGGCGTTAACAGTCGTATTTGGCAGACTCAATTCAAGGGTACGTTTCCACTGAACGCATCATGCGTCGCGTCGTCCATCGCGTCGCGTCGTAACGCGAAATGTCTAGTTCACACTAGTGGTCTGTTTTCTGTTCCTGCACTAGACGGAACTAGAACTCTCTTTCTCGCTTTCTACAAATATCAAACATATACCTATCTCACTTTAAGTTCTAAAAGTGTACACTAGTTCAGCCACAGAAAACAGACCTTAGATGAGCGATGCGCCACGAGCAATAGCTGCGTTCGGTAATGCAAATCTAATGCTGGATTCACACTGCATCCGATTTTCGTCGTACGACGATTCTGCAACCAATCAGAAAAATCGTATCATCGATACGAAGCAAAATTTTGTTTCCTGATTGGTTGCAGAGTCGTCGTACGACGAAAATCGGATGCAGTGTGAATCCAGCATAAGGCGTCGGAGTGCTTTTTTTCTATAGTGCACGTGACATATGCTATAATATAAGAGCACTCCGACGCCTCAGATTTGCTATTACCGAACGCAGCTAATAAAGGAGCCTACAGACCAGAGCGGCGCAGCGGTGAAGCGGCGAGCGATAGCCAATGAGAGCCATGCTTTTACGCAAAAGCATGGCTCTCATTGGCTATCGCTATTTTACATCGTCGTGTGAGCAAAAGCAAAGCTTTTATTGGATATCGCTCGTCGTTCATCGCCCATCGCATCCAGTGTGAACTAGGCAAAAGAGAGAAAGCCCAACTTAGACCGGTATTCATAGTCGGTTCTTATTTCAAGACTGTCTTAAGTAATGTCTTAAGATGCTAAAGCGGCCCTTTGATTGGTTCGTAACTCCTCAAGACTGTACTTAAGACGGTCCTGAATATAAGAACTGATTATGAATACCGGCCTTAGGGGCAGTATTCATAGTCAGTTCTTATATTCAAGACCGTCTTATGGCTCCTACACACCAAGCGCGATGCGCGACACGCGATACGCGATATCCAATAAGCGTACAGCTTTACCGATGTTCTCATTCTAAAGCTGCACGCTTATTGGATATCGCATATCGCGTGTCGCGCATCGCGCTTGGTGTGCAGGGGGCCTTATGCCAGCTGCACACCAGCGCGATGTTCGCCGCGCGCGACGCGCGATATCCAATAAACGTACAGCTTTACCGATGTTCTCATTCTAAAGCTAGACGCTCATTGCATATCGCGTGTCGCGCGCGACGAACATCACGCTGGTGTGCAGCTGGCATTATGCGTGGTCTACAATGGGCAGTAGCAGTAGTGAGTTAAGGAGTAGGCGTAGAAATCGACTAATGATAGTTAATTGTCCTTCTCACATTCGACTATGATTTGTTGATTTCTACGCCTATTCCTTAACTCACTACTACTATTGCCCATTGTGGACCACGCATTAAGCCCAAGACACAATGCGAGGGAAAAGCGATAGCGATAAGTTTCAACCTATCAAAAATGTCTATTATGGTGTATTCGATTTCTGATAAGTGAAATTTATCGCTATCGCTATTTCCTCGCATTGACTGCGTTCAGCAGAAAAAGCAGCTTTGCAACTGTTGTAAAATTCTTGAATATGATTGGGTTATACATTTAGATCTAATGAGGAAATAAGGGCAAGACCAATCATACTAAAGAATTTTACAACAGTTGCAAAGCTGCTTTTTCTGCTAAACGCAGCCATTGTGTCTTGGGCTTTAGGGCCTGGCACACAAAAAAACTTAAGGCTTAGTAGTAAGCGAATTGACCAATCATAGTAGAGGCCGTAAGGCCATAACTAAGCAGTTGCAAATCCACAACGTTGATTTTTTTACTGCTAAATCTTAAGTTTTTTTTGTGTGTCAGGGCCCTTAAGGTCAATTTTGAGGTGTCACGAATCAATCAGACAGCTGCATTAGCATCTTAAGACATTACTTAAGACGATCTTAAAATAAGAACCGACTATGAATACCGGCCTTAGTTAGCAAACTACGTCAATGGTCACGTTCAGCAGACCCAACTGTTGCGGAGCGGATCCGTGAGCGCTCACTGCTATCGGTATATTCTTTTAAGGTTGCGGTCCATTTGATGCCACAAACGCTTCGAAGAATTTTTTGATTGGTTAGTTAGTAAAATTCTTTCTTCTGATTGGTCAATCAAATGCTTCAAAGCATTTGTAGCGAGACTTTGACCGCACCCTATAAGGGAAATGCGATTGGATGATTTTCTTTATGCATGCGTTTATGCATCTATGCAAGTTGTGTGGCTTTACTGCCAGTATTAAAAATATATGATGCACGTAAAGTTAACTATAGATTTTCAGTACTGGCAGTAAATTTCGGAACACTGCTTACATAATATTTATTGCGCATGCTCTGACGCTCGACACTCATTTTAGCGTCAAATGGATCACGTGATTAAAATTGGCACTTGCTATTCGTCAATTCTTATCACGTGATCTGTTTTGACGCTAAAAATGAGCGTCAAACGTCAGCATGAAAAGGTACCTTAAGAGTCCTACAAACACAGTTGGATATCCTTCTCGCATTCAACTGAAATTGGTCAATTCTTACAACTAAATAGTACTTTTCGATACAAGTGCGTGTGTGTAAAGTACTTTACACATACGCACTTGTATCGAAAAGTACTATTACGCAATTGTTGATCGGTCTTAATGTCGATTTGTGATATAATATATTGTTCTCTTCCAGGACACAAGTGTATTCTACTAAATGTACACAATATTAGACATATATATGTAAGCAACTGGCCAGAGAATATACACACACATGTCACTTAGATGTAATTACGGAAATTTATTTTGATATTTTGTCGTATCAAAAATATAACAGAATATCAAAATAAAAATTTTGCATATACTTAAACGCTTGCTGTATTCTGTATTAACCCATAAAGTTATTTATCGTCACAAATATGCTCGATTAAGTCACACATATACGTGTGCAATGACGTGCAGTATCCCTGATCGTATTTCCAAACATTTTCATCATCTTAGAATGCAAAAATTATCGAAAAAAAAATGAAAACGTTCATTATATGACTTCACGTTCGTTTTCAGGACACAGACATATCATGGAATGTTACATTTGGCATATTCTTTATTCGGGGCAGACCTGGAAACAACCACTGTCCTGTCATATGTCATTATCTCAGTGTTCTGGAAATCATTTAGGTGCAATTTCTAAAAAAGTAACAGATTTGTTTATATATGTAAAAGGAATACAGATGACATATTAAATTAAAAGACAAGCATAAACTAGAATGTACTTATATATTACGTAATATATAAGTACATTCTAGTTTTTGCTTGTTTCTTTTAATTCAATATATTATTTGTATTCGTTCTACATATAATAAGCGCTTTAAATGTCTGTAAAGGCCATCATACGTACAAAAATTTTAGTAGTAATCGTAAGGTCTTAAGCAAATCGGCCAATCACAGTTTAGCGTATTAAAATGTGAGATCATAATCTTGATTGTGATTGGTCGATTTGCTTAAGACCTTACGATTGCTACTAAATTTTTGTACGTGTGATGGCCTTTAGGCCCGAGCTACATCTATCGTAATGTTAATCGTAAGCTTCTTACGATCCTTACGACAGCCAATCAAAAGCTTTACAATACACATTGACGTTTCTAATTGGCTGTCGTAAGAATTGTAAGGAGCTTACGATAAAGATTACGATAGATGTAGAATGGCCCTTAGGCCGGAATCAGACTACGCATTGAAGATTGAGATTGAAGATAGAAAGATTGAATTTTAGCTAATCAAAATAATAGGAGTTAAAATTTCTTTATCCTTATTGGTCAAATTTCAATTTTCAATCTCCAATCTCAATTTTCAATGCGTAGTCTGCTTCCGGCCTTAGGAAGCAAACATTCAAATATCCTGGAATGTTACATG